AACTCTGGTTTTACAAAAATATACAGAAAAAGCTATAAAATCTCAATTTCGTTGAAATTTACTTTTTTAAAATCATTTTGTTATGTAAGTTATAAAAAGGTAAAATATCAGTATGATACAGGTTTCAACTGCTAGGGTTAGGTAAGGCATTATAAGACCCTGGAGCCGTCTACAAAAACTAGTATAATCAAACGATCGCCGGTAAAGACGGTTCTACTCCACAGAAGGGGAGGCAGATCGCTTGCCAATCAAACAATTAGTCGGATTCAACCTTGAATATTCTGCAGGCAAACATTACAATAAACACCAAGAAAATACCCACATAATTCAAACTCATCTTCCATAAAACTATGGTAAAATATGAACAAAAGGAAAGATTTACACAGAGTCTGAAAAAGTACAAGGAGAATAAGATCAGGTGTTCCTGAAGATTAAGCGTATTCTGCTTTATCGACGACATCCGCCTTGTGAACTTTAGTCAATGCAAGTAAGTAATATCAGGTACTAAAATGAGAACAACGAACGACAAGAACGGAACCAACAGACAATTACTAATATACGTCAAAAGTATTGTGCGCTATTACAGTTGACGTTTTTATTTTCATGCGAGGCAGCATTTATTGACTAGATTATCAAAACATGTAAAAAGGACATTGCTAAGTACATCAACTTCACTTTCGGATTCATGTATATTGACCTTAATCATCAAAACGTTTTGATGCAGGGAAACGTTTCATGGATGTTCTCATGATCTCATTGAGAATTATATTTCCTTCTGTGATAAGAAGTTTTAGTTAGAACGTGGCATTTAACAAAGCAACAGCTAGATGACATATTCGGAACATCTGCTTATGTTCCGGTACTGTTTCAAAAGTCTCTGCGCGAAATAATCTTTCCGACATCAAACAAAATTTTCATTTCACAATTATTAACAGGTCGGTACGGAAAAGCGGTAACGCTTTGACAAATTCAGGGAAAACGAATAAGGAAAAATTATTTTCGATTTCACAGTCTATTTATGAAACAGACGATACTTTTTAACGATGTAAGCGACAGAGAGCAAATTCCTTTTCTAGATCCTAAGCGGCACGCCCTGGGAACAAAATAATAAACAACATATCGATTTTGCTCATATTATCATTGAATTCTTGTGGTGGACGCTTTAGGATCAGGTACGTTGAAATTGGATATTCGCTTTACTATGGCCGATTGATGATGTTTTAAACCGCATCTTCAATCAGACCTCTTAGTGCGTCAATACATAAGTTAGAGTGAAAGTTGTTTGCGGCCAACACAAGTATGAGCACGAGTTTCTCACCTGTGCATCGCATTGACATGCACCTGTCAGACACCGCAAGGTGGTTGTGATGCACTGCAGCTCATTCAAAACTCCGCGAAATATGCATTTGGAACTCATGGGAAATAAGATGATTTATACACACCGACGACATGGTAGCGAGTAAAACGACCACATATCATGTGTAACGAAAATGTGTGGTAGGAGGAGGGGAGGGGTGGGGTGTCATCACACAGTCATAGGACGTTTTAAATCTAAAATGATATATTATGAAACATAGCAAATAGCAGGAATTATATAAAGAAAAGCAAAAAAGTATTTCTGCTAGTAAAGTATTATTACTACTATTTCACATGTTAATTTATGGAATGTCTAATTCCTGTGGTTTCATATCAATTAATTCGTTATCGTTTTCATTTTGTTCTTGTCCACCTAAATCAGACAAGAACATGAATAGTACTGATTCAATACTCATATTCTACTTTGGCTTTTTAAATTATCTTTAATGGTTTGGCTACTCTGGACATAGCAACAATAACACATTAGATATGTGTCTGTCAATATGCCATGATAGCATATGATGACATTGTAGCAATGATAACATATGATGACATCGTAATAGAATAGGGAAAAACACAATCCTGCTGAGTGCCCCATTAGGAATTGAACAGGTGTTTTCAGTGTGATAATTTGTGGTTCTACCTTAATCTCAACCTGGGATTCTAAGTAATCATTAAGTATTCAAATCTGCAGGGTATTACTGGGATGACTGGAGGACAAACCAATTTCTTATAATAATGATGATAAACTATTTTTACACAACAAAAATATTTTATAGAATACCATGGTTGTGATATAAGGATAACATGTATTTATAATGTCTCATTGTTAACCTTAAAACTGTAACCATCTTCAGCCGCAAAAATGTACTTAAGACCATGTGAAAATTGTAAAAGCCGTCCTGATGATGGTCACATAGTGGTTGAAACATGTCATAATAACCAAAATTACTCCTGGATATTGGGATTCATTTGTAATTTCTACATATTTACTACATAGCAAGGATCTCTAGTGATAACCAAGTGGTATCCATCTAGGAAGATTACCACAATATTAGACATTAAGACTGCTGGTTCTCCCATCTATCCAGAAAGATTACCACAATCTTAGACTTTAAGAGTGCTGGTTCTCCCATCTATCCAGGAATATTACCTCAACCTTAGACTTTAAGAATGCTGGTTCTCCCATCCATCTAGGAACATTACCATAATCTTAGACTTTAAGAGTGCTGGTTCTCCCATCCATCTAGGAACATTACCACAATCTTGGACTTTAAGAGTGCTGGTTCTCCCATCCATCTAGGAACATTACTACAATCTTAGACTTTAAGAGTGCTGGTTCTCCCATCCATCTAGGAACATTACCATAATCTTAGACTTTAAGAGTGCTGGTTCTCCCATCCATCTAGGAACATTACCACAATCTTAGACTTTAAGAGTGCTGGTTCTCCCATCCATCTAGGAACATTAACATAATCTTAGACTTTCAGAGTGCTGGTTCTCCCATCCATCTAGGAACATGACCACAATGTTAAACTTTAAGAATGTTGGTTCTCCCATCCTTCTAGAAATAATATTACCTCAATCTTAGACTTTAAAAGTGCTGGTTCTCCCATCTATCTAGGAACATTACCACAATCTTAGACTTTAAGAGTGCTGGTTCTCCCATCTATCTAGGAACATTACTACAATCTTTGACTTTAAGAGTGCTGGTTCTCCCATCTATCCAGGAACATTACTACAATATTTGACTTTAAGAATGCTGGTTCTCCCATCCATCTAGGAACATTACCACAATCTTGGACTTTAAGAGTGCCGGTTCTCCCATCCATCTAGGAACATTACTACAATCTTAGACTTTAAGAGTGCTGGTTCTCCCATCCATCTAGGAACATTACTACAATCTTAGACTTTAAGAGTGCTGGTTCTCCCATCCATCTAGGAACATTACTACAATCTTAGACTTTAAGAGTGCTGGTTCTCCCATCCATCTAGGAACATTACTACAATCTTAGACTTTAAGAATGCTGGTTCATATATTGTATCAGTGTAATACATTTAACATCCATTACATTAATTTCTACGACGTCATTTGTGATTGACTGAAGGCCTCTATTCTTTCAATCTTGATATCATAACTTAATGCACCCATATGCATTATGACATCACCAAAGAAAGAGATACAGTATGTAAATTTAGATTTTGTGGATCAGCCTAGAAAAATGCTATTTTCAAAAAGTATCCAAGTCATGTGATAAACAAAATCTTACATTTCTTTACATGAGATTTATGAAACTTGACACAAATATATCATTTTACCTCACCAGAGACTCTGTAAAGTAAAAATTTAAAGAGTTGTTTCATCAATTCCATATAAATGAAAAGCCATGTAAGGTTGTGATGGTCTGAGTGAGTACGATTTGGTCATTGTTTTTGCTTCTGCTTGTAAATTAGTACATGTACCACTCTTTACTTTTTCAATTTGTTTTACATATGTTGCATTTATATATTATGATATCATTTCATGTTTTAAAATATGCTAATTTCTTTCCTAAAGCAGGTAATAATAATTTGAAGTCTAGTTCATGTATATACATAAATTATCTCTAGCAGAGTGATATATCAATATTTGGATTAAACCGTCTGGGCTGAACAGTTGTGATGGATATTGTTTACACATGGATACACATAATATGATTGGGAAAGCTGATACAAATCTTCGTTGTACAATCACATTGTCTATTCAGGGGTTTTAGACTGGGAATTTAGTGAACTGACTTGTACAATCACATTGTCTATTCAGGGGTTTTAGACTGGGAATTTAGTGAACTGACTTGTACAATCACATTGTCTATTCAGGGGTTTTAGACTGGGAATTTAGTGAACTGACTTGTACAATCACATTGTCTATTCAGGGGTTTTAGACTGGGAATTTAGTGTAAGTCATTATACTATGTATGATACACTTAACAACAAAATGTATGCGTTTTGTTAAAAAAATAAACAATTTTGGTGATTGGAGTTTTTTTGAAACACTTTTTTTGAAGTATTTTAAAGAATAAAGAGAACTTTTTGAGAAAATAAACGATATTGTTGATATGATCTGATATGAGGAAACTGATCTGCCATTCTCTCTGATGTAACATATTGGTTGAGAGATTGCATACTTACTTTGGAGTGTTCATAATCAATATTATGATTTAACCATGAATTTGATCAGATATCTGTGTCCGCTGAGGTCGGCTTAGAAAATATGCCAGAATAGGGATGGATGTTATATTAAAACTAATTGTGAATCAGATTGCATAGGATGTCGACCTGTTCAGGTATCTGGCTTCACATATTAGGGAGTGATATTGAACAGAATGTAAACATTCAAGGATCAGACTGAAAAGGATGTCAGAATGACCAAACATCACAGCTACAAATTATTTTTATGTAGCAAAGTTTTGCTGTTGTAATTCTGTTAAATCATTCTTTTTTTATTGGTTATTGACTGAGAAAATGTTAAGTATCTGAAAGGCCTGGTGGTATACAGGTTCTTTGTTTTTCATGTTTCTGTTAAAAGTCTTTAGTGACAAATTGAAATTTGTTTAATTTTGTTGTGTACTTGCAGACTAACTATTAAGAGAGCCATGTAGAATATGAACGAAGATGAGGGAGATTATTTTCATCGTAGGTTTAGTGTTGGGTCGGACAGAACATTGGATAATATAGCTGATCTTCATAACTTGGATACATCACAGAGTACTCTACACAGTCCTATTCACGGAAGGATGTTCAGCAGCAGCTACAGGGGACAGAAGCCTGGTGATATGGACCCACCTCATCACCATAGTAATGAACTGGTTGAAGTTACTGGCCCCTCCAGCTCAGGACAAACAGATGGAGCTGATAAAGCTGGGGAAATAACTCCAGTAAGTAGGCTAAGAATGAAATCTGACCTCATAAGAGGTCAAGAGGAAGGGTCAAGGCCAAGACCAGTGGAACGTCAGTTGACGGACAGCTACATTGAGGAACTGTCACGCACACCTCGTTACAATACTCAAACGGACTATAACCAGATGGTGGACCATTTAGCAGAGAACGATCCATTTCGAGGAGAATATACTCCCTCTGGTAAGCAAAAGAAAGTACAACACAAAAGAAAAAAGCACAAACATAAAAAAGATGATGATTCTACATGGGATGGAACAGAGAGCATGCCACTTGATAAATCAGAAGGAACGTTTTCTAAGAAAAAGAAAAAATCTAAGAAAGGATCAAATTCTAGAGATAGCACTGGAACTTTTACCATAGATGGACATTCCAATCCGTCCTTTGATAAATCTGTAGACAGGTCTGTCGACAGACAGAGGGCAGAATCTGTTCAGAGTAATGGAACATACACACTCAAAAGAGAGGACTCTTTAGCAAGTCTTAAAGGGTTCCATCCATCGGTTACCAGAAATGACACCAGCAACAGTTTTACCATCAAACGTGCATCCTCAAAAAGGAAGACCAAAATTGGTATTGATAGAGTAAGTCATGATTACTTAATTATAGTATGTGTAGCTATCCTGTCTTCATATTTAATTTCAACTTCCCTGTAAAATTCTTTACTCTTTCATTATGCAATTTTGGATTGTTAGTTATTTTAAGTGTTGTGAATGTTTCTGTGTAAAGGTTTGTCAGTTTCTCAGAGAAACATCGCAATATAAGATTGATACAAAGTAACTTTGTTTTTGTTTGAAGGTTTTGTCAGTTTCCCAGAGAAAGGATGCAAATATTAGATTGAGACTCTTTAATTTTCCTTCAAAATTTCTGTCAAGGTCAGGAGATGGACATTTCATTAGGTTCTTTTGTGAACTGATTTTTTCTAGAGTTATTTACAAGTACACTTGTTGACATGCTCTAAACTTAGTTTATAAAGAATAAGAATTTTGTCAATATTGTATAAACTTGTAAATATAGACACACTATAAACATACCATAATTGTTAGCTCACCTGGCCCAAGGGGCCAAGTGAGCTTATGCCATAGCGCAGCGTCTGTTGTCCGTCTGTCGTCCATCCATTGTTAGTCCTTCATTTAAACAACTTCTTCTGAAATACCAATAGGCGTAGAGTTATCATATTTGGCTGGAATGTTCCTTTGACGAAGCCAAACAAAGTTTGCAAAAAGAAATGATCTTGACCCATATTCAAGGTAAAAGAGGTCAAATGTGTTAAAACCTTTAAACGACTTCTTCCAAAATACTGGAAGGCCTAGAATCATTATATTTGGCTGGAATGTTTCTTTGATGAAGCTCAACTAAGTTTGCAAAAAGAAATGACCTTGACCCATATTCAAGGTCACAGAGGTCAAATGTGTTAAAACCTTTAAATGACTTCTTCCAAATTACCGGAAGGCCTAGAATTGTTATTTGGCTGGAAGGTTCCTTTGATGAAGCCCAACAAAGTTTGCAAAAAGAAATGACCTTGACCCATATTCAAGGTAAAAGAGGTCAAATGTGTTAAAACCTTTAAACGACTTCTTCCAAAATACTAGAAGGCCTAGAATCATTATATTTGGCTGGAATGTTCCTTTGATGAAGCTCAACTAAGTTTGCAAAAAGAAATGACCTTGACCCATATTCAAGGTAAAAGAGGTCAAACCTTTAAACGACTTCTTCCAAAATACTAGAAGGCCTAGAATCATTATATTTGGCTGGAATGTTCCTTTGATGAAGCTCAACTAAGTTTGCAAAATGAAATTACCTTGACCCATATTCAAGGTCACAGAGGTCAAATGTGTTAAAACCTTTAAACGACTTCTTCCAAAATACCGGAAGGCCTAGAATTGTTATTTGGCTGGAAGGTTCCTTTGATGAAGCCCAACAAAGTTTGCAAAAAGAAATGACCTTGACCCATATTCAAGGTAAAAGAGGTCAAATGTGTTAAAACCTTTAAACGACTTCTTCCAAAATACTAGAAGGCCTAGAATAATTATATTTGGCTGGAATGTTCCTTTGATGAAGCTCAACTAAGTTTGCAAAATGAAATGACCTTGACCCATATTCAAGGTCACTTAAGTCAAATGTGTTAAAACCTTTAAACGACTTCTTCTGAAATATCGAAAAGCCTCGAATCATTATATTTGGCCAGTATGTTCCTTTTATGAAGTCCAAGAAAGTAAAAGAAATGACCTTGACCCATAGTCAAGGTCACAGGGGTCAAATGTGTTAAACGTGGAACATATGACCAGATATAGTAATGTTGGTCATAAATATCCAGGTGAGCGATACAGGCCCTGTGGGCCTCTTGTTTTGTAATTTGCATTGAATATATTTTTTAGGTAAAATTCTGATATAAAATTTCTTACTGTAGTTTATAGAAGTTATGTGTCTTTTATTCAGGTTGGATTCCAAAAGTTCGTGAAAGAAAATATCAAACAACGGGAGCCTAAATCAGAAATTAATCCACCAACTGGGAAGTAAGTTTTGTGATAATTCCCTCAGTAGCATGTGCCAGTAACATGTTTATCAAACAATAGGCTTAAAAGGTCTATATATAGAATCTTCCAGCCCGTAAGTAGTAGCTTATTAATAGTAACGTGAAATCAGTGAAAATCCATAATCAACATTTGGTTATCAAAATTAGATAGGCTTTTTTATGTAGTTTAATCGATTACATAATCAGCTGGCTGTTTGTTCAATATTCATAGAAAGTGATTGCATCTTTCCTTGCAATAATGTTTCCTTTTTCTGACTCTAAGCTGTCTACATGAGACTGGATATAAAATACATTGTGTTTTAGATGTTCCATGTAGTGTACTATTTGTACTGTATTTACTGTTTCAGGGGAAAGGACATTCCTAACATGGAAAAAGGCAAGCATGTATGGCACTACCATACACATACTATTGCAAAACCCTGTGATTCCTTTGGTGAGATTCAGTTCCATGGCTATGGACACGACACAGAATCTTCCCCTGTAAGTACTGACTCTTGTGTATAGTACCTTAGGTTAAAGAATTTGACAAAATATACATGTGAATCTGATAATGATGATTATATACTTGGGAGTTAGAGTGTTTATGCAATACCTACAGGCAGTTTCTTGTTAGATCCATTGTCAACATATCAGAAATTGAGATTTATCTTTGTTCCTGTTATGATATGACCAAGAACTTGTCATACATTGGTGAGACTTTTCCTTAGGTCAGGTTCTTAGTCAATAATTAGTTTTATAATGAAGATTGATGTTTGTCATGGAGGTTCTTTTCAGATTGAGTACTCAGGTTTTGAAGTATGTTTTTCAAAAGAATATTTTATTTGTTTGTTAATCATTATCTTAAGGTTGAAGTTTTAATGGTATTTTTCATTTAGTTCTGTTTCCATTGAGAGGAAACAGGGATGCATGTTTTAGAAGTGAATTTTGAGCAGAAGTGTAAAGCTTTCACCTACACGGTTTATGACTTGGTAGAAACCCATGTACTTTAAGTTATTGTATATAGTGAGTATTGTATTTCTGTAGATACACAACAACTAATAGAGACTGCAAGGTCTTAACTTACAACATTAACCTGAGCAAGAAACTAATTACTGTAACGAAAGATACAAATTGATTGAATAAAGATTAGGATTTCAGCCTATAATCATTACAACAGGTTGATAGCATTTGCCTCCATTAAATATGAAATACAGTTGATACCATTTACCTCCATTAAATATGAAATACAGTTGATACCATTTACCTCCATTAAATATGAAATACAGTTGATACCATTTAGCTCCATTAAATATGAAATACAGTTGATATCATTTTCCTCCATTAAATATGAAATGCAGTTGATATCATTTACCTCCATTAAATATGAAATACAGTTGATAGCATTTTCCTCCATTAAATATGAAATACAGTTGATAGCATTTTCCTCCATTAAATATGAAATACAGTTGATACCATTTAGCTCCATTAAATATGAAATACAGTTGATACCATTTACCTCCATTAAATATGAAATACAGTTGATACCATTTAGCTCCATTAAATATGAAATACAGTTGATACCATTTACCTTCATTAAATATGAAATACTAACCAAAAAGGAGTGACAGGTTTCCTTGTCTCACAGCCTCAAACAGTTTTGTATTTCATTTCAGATGAATTTGATAAACTGTAGTGAACTGTAATACAAGGTTAAATGACTTGAGGGACAGTATAGAGACAAATGTCTAAATCTTTATTAAGCAATGTCGATGACATTTTGTTGATGCTGTAACCACACTGTAAAATATTTGATTTTAGTGAGTCTCTTATTTTGGTTGATTTCATTGATTTCTTGCGTAGTACTACAAATTAATATGTCTTGTATTGATAAACTGTTTGATACTTGAGATTTTTTTCAGCGTAATTTCAGTGACAATTTGAACTACATGAAACGATGTAAGATTTTACAGTAGGTAATTAAGAACAGCAATTGAGTATAATAAGGTTTACTCTGTGTGATTACAGTACATCAGACTGGCAAACGACACCAAGCCAGAGTTGGTGCTGGACATTATTCTTAACTACTGGAAGCTTCCCACCCCAAAACTCCTTATCTCTATTACTGGTGGTGCCAAAAGGTTTGACATGAAACCCAAGCTCTTGGAAAAGTTCAAGCGCGGCATTATCAATGCAGCGACAAGCACAGGTATTTATCACAGGTGTTTATTACAGGGGTTTATTAGGGATTTCATGGTTTGTTAACAACTTAAACTTGTACTTCCAGAGGGAACATGGAGGTAATTTCATTGATAGGGGAGACTTTCAGGACAAAGAAATTTGATGACTGCATATGGCATAACTATGCATCCATAATTCACCATGGCATCTCTGGTCAGGAAGACAATTTTGTACTTCATATTGAATTACCTTCCTCACGATGTCTTTATTCTATCAGATATTTGTTTTATTGTAAGAAAAACTTGGGATTTGTACTACTATGTAAAGTTTGTTGTGTAGGAGCCTGGATCATCACTGGGGGGACACACACTGGCGTGATGGAGATTGTAGGAGAAGGAATCCGGGAATACATCCTCACCTACGGCAAACAGAAGGACATTGTGTGTCTGGGTGTTCCTTTGTGGGGGGCCATCGCCAATAGGGATGCTCTGGACGAGGTCAGTTTAGTCATCTTTTTATGTTTTGTAAAATACTCTGGGTATTATCTGTCGGCAGTGGAACAAGGATAATTCTGACAACAAAGGAAACAACAGAATTTGGTTCAGTGTACAGAATATGTAATAGAGATCATACATAGTCTAATCCTTTAGTCAAGTGTCCTTAAAGTCAGTTCAATTGTATTCAATTGTTAAGAGAGGTGTTGGTGAAGTACAAGTAGTCAGGCTTTGGAGAAGTCACTTTTGTCTATTTTCAACAAAGACTGCACACATAAATACGGTAATGTTGTCATGTATCAAGTCAACACTGTGTTATTTAAGAATTATTACTATTGATTATACAGGAAGTTAAAATAGCTTAAATTCAATGCAGACTCTAGATAAAGAATATCATGATAAACAGAGGCTAGGAAATAAGATAAGATATAAGATTATATATTCTTGTTATTGTTTTACGGCTGAATTGAACAGGATGTGGATGGGAATTTCCCTGCTATATACTCTAAACAAGGTCTGGAAGCGGAGAAAGGTAAACGGACGGTCCCCCTCGATCATAACCATACTCACTTTGTCATTGTGGATGATGGATCCCGAGAGAAATTTGGCGGTGAGATTGAATTCAGAGCCAACCTGGAGAAGACAATTTCCCACATGTTGTGTAATTCTGAGAGCATGACCTCTAACCTTCGTAAGTAGAGAAAAAGATGCCAATCTATTATATTGAACACGTTTCTTCATAATTATTTGTTGAGCTGATGTCACTGTATATTTTCATCACAAATATCTAACAATACTTTCTTTGAAGCAAAGTATTTAGCCTTAATGTGTTAATCTGATTGGGGATTGTGTATAGGAACTGGAAAGTGTATATAATTATTACAGTTTAATCTAAGATATTGCCTGCTAAATTGTCAGAATATCTGATCTTTTGAATAGTTATATATCAGTGAATCAAGTTTCAAGGAATAATGATTTATTATTGCATAGTGTGTTTTTTGCGATTAAGATTAAACAATGACCAAAAAGCTGACTTTTTTCTTTTTGCTTGTGTTATGAATATGATTAAAAGAAATGTGTTGGTTTGGAGAATATAGAAATCATTCTTAGGGAGTAAAGCTTGGCAAGACTAAAGCTTCCTGGACCAAGATTGAGGCTTGCCGCGAGGTCTTTATTTCAACACAAAACTAGTTACAAAGTTTGTGTTTTGTTGATTTAACAGTATGAAATCTTCGTGATCCAGAAATGTTCTTCTCACAGACCTGGGTGAGGTTACCGATATCACCTGTTGTATTTAGTTGATACTGACTACCTGTCTGTCATTATAGAGGTAAACACTCCAGTCATATCACTGATCATAGAGGGTGTGTCTGTCATTATAGAGGTAAACACTCCAGTCATATCACTGATCATAGAGGGTGTGTCTGTCATTATAGAGGTAAACACTCCAGTCATATCACTGATCATAGAGGGTGTGTCTGTCATTATAGAGGTAAACACTCCAGTCATATCACTGATCATAGAGGGTGTGTCTGTCATTATAGAGGTAAACACTCCAGTCATATCACTGATCATAGAGGGTGTGTCTGTCATTATAGAGGTAAACACTCCAGTCATATCACTGATCATAGAGGGTGGCATTGGTTCCATGAAGACAGTTGCTGAATCAATCAAAAATGGAATTCCTGTATTGGTTCTTGAGGGATCAGGAAGGGCAGCAGACTTCATCGCCGCTGGATACCATATGACCAAGGACATCATGAAGTGAGTCATACAAAATAGCTGCATTTCACAAAACATATCTAAGCCAATAAAATAGGTGACAAGCATCATTGCTCTAAATCAATGTGAAATTCAAACATTTTAAAGGATTTTTTTTAATTGACTCCATCTTAAGAACTGAAAGGCCTCAAGTCATTGTGTTCATTAGGTAATTTATTGGTTTGGAGTTAGAAATACTGTTTGTCTATATTTAATGCCCCAGAAATAAAGTGTGTTAGAATGCTCTAATAACTTCTGTAAAAGAACTGAAATACCAAGAGTCAAAATATCTTTCCAGTGAAAAATAACAAGCTTGGAGCTAGCTATAGCCCCCTGTCTTAATTAAGCCCAATCATATTAATTTCAGTTCTGTAGAAATCCCAACAAATGTATATATCTTTTGATAGCCCATCCCTCCACTTTGAGTCAGAGAAAATATATGTCCACCCACGTGTGATATATATCTTTATTCGCATGTGATTTATGAATTGAAAACTCATGTAAGATCCTTTATATCAGGTTTTTATTTTTCATATATTCTTTTTCATAGTGAAGAGAAAAGTCACTTTCCACAACACTATCACCAAACCATGGAGGAAATGGCCACCAATGACTTCGAATGGAAACCGGGAGAGAGCAACAAACCTGCCAAGATAGCGCAATGTCTGAAACAGCTGGAGTACTCTCTCAGGTCACGCAGAATGGTAGGGTCACATGATATCTAGTCACATGATGCCATATGATACTAGGTCACATCATGCTTAGTCAGATGATAAATCATGATCTTACTGTAATGCAGACTTGTCCTAGTTAATTGAATTTATATCACAGAATGATTGAACGTAAATGCACATTGGTTATGGAGTTTAATTTTCACAAGTTATTGTATCCATATGTATTTACAAGTATTGAATTTCTTTTCAGATAACAGTGTTCAACTTAGGTGATTCAGAAAATAAAGATCTTGATAAAGCCATTTTGAATGCCTTACTGAAAGGTCAGTTTTCATTGGTTGTTTATATAAATTTACCTGGTACACAAACATTTGAATATCCCTGGGAAATGTTTCTGTATTGTGTTGATTGTTCACTTTCTTTATTGCAGTAAGCTCATGGGGCTAACACATAACCTTTGACCTCTGAAGTAGGGAATGTTGGGAGTTGGGGTTATTTCATGTTAATGATAAAACGTATGTTTGAATAGGAGTGGGCCTATGGACATGGGTATATTTCCACATAGACCTAGTAGTATAGTAATCAAGTGATGTGTACAGATGTATATTTCAATCTACCATTTTTCAGCGACAGTGGAAAGTGAAGATGGTAATACAAATGTTGTCTGGACTATTTTTTCGATTGCTAATTTTTCATGACAACAAATAATTTTTAAAATCAATCAATGCTTATTTTAACACACAGGGATTTATCACTCCTAGGTTTTAACACACAGGGATTTATCACTCCTACCTTTTAACACTCTCAAATGGACATATTCCCATCTGAAAAAAAAAACTTATTTTGTAGATAAATGTTGAAAATGGAAAATATAAAAGACAGATAAAAAATATTTGGGTGAATTCTCTTTTTGGATTGATCTGTGAGCTGTATAAAATGAAAATTTTCAATATTCATACTAAAACTGTAGGTGTGGTAAATCCCTGCCATATATGTACTGTATACATCTTTGTGTTTTTTTAACAGTATTTATTGTTCGATGTGTGGCCCTGAAAATTTGCATTTTTAAAGTTTTAATGAAATCTAATTATTTTTTTCAATAAAAAAACACACTTTTCTTTGAAAGGTATTTACAATTATGCAAATCCATAGTGGTTTATGCAAAATTTAAAATGTGCTTATATACAAAATTTTAAGAGTGTTGATAGCATAATACAAATTACTGTATGTATGTATAACTTTACAATATGTGTAACAATGCTGTGAAAAAACATAAATATGTATGCAGTGTAATTAATCTACAGTACGCTTTTCTTGTGTTGTTAGTTTTTTTTTTTTTTTTGTGATATAAGACTGGGTACCTATATTACAGTTTCCTTGAAAATATAAATTATAACCTGCTAAAATATATTCACATGCTTAGTGTTTCGTGTTAAATGTTTCAATTACAAATCATCATATAAGCTGACGGGAACTGTTGGTACATCAGGTCTTTTTGATATTTTGATATTTCTGATGAAAATTTTATATTTATGTAAATGTAAAGAAATGTTGGCATAATGTACTGAATTGATAATACTTGTCAACTTTTCTTATTCATTCTGGTAACTTTTGAGAAATATTTGTACATTGAATGTAGTGTACATGTATGTAGTATTTCATTACATTAGACTTGAAAAAAATGTATGTACCAACAAAGGACTAGATTGTTTGTAAATTCTTAGTTCAACAGATAACTGTAAAAATGTGCCTCTGAAAACTAACTTTTTTATCAGTACAATGGAATTTTCATTAGATGATTTAAAAAACTTCTTACTTATTGAAAATAATTTTGCTCCATCTGTTAGTAAAAACATGATTTTTTAATTTATATTTATCATACTTGATAAATCCAAAAAGCTTTGGGGTGATATTTTTTCCATTTAATAATACCTAGATTATGATTTCAATTTTGATTCAATCTTCCTCACAAAACATAAATAAGTATAGCCATTAAGTATAATATGTATTGCGTCCTTGGTTTATGATATATAGATCCATGAAGGTTTCTACCTCGTTACTATATACTTATGTACCTCAGCGATCTTGTATTCATTGGTATTCAAACAAATTGTACATAAATTATTTTGAATAATTTTAATGGCAGTTACCGGTGTACATGAATCATTACTCAGAATATCTTATGAATACAAGAATTTTCACATAAATACATTGAACATTTGAATACTATATTTGATAAAAAAAATATATGTATTTGGATATTAATGTATGTATTTGAATGTTAACATTTTTAATTCGATACTCATCTGCTCAGGATTAAGATCGCTTTCAGTTGCAAATAATATGAAATTGTATTAATGTAATTGGTGTGATGGAGTCAATTTAACCCCTGGGTTTGATGTAATTGGTGTGATGGAGTCAGTGTAACCCCTGGGTTTGATGTAATTGGTGTGATGGAGTCAATTTAACCCCTGGGTTTGATGTAATTGGTGTGATGGAGTCAGTGTAACCCCTGGGTTTGATGTAATTGGTGTGATGGAGTCAATTTAACCCCTGGGTTTGATGTAATTGGTGTGATGGAGTCAGTGTAACCCCTGGGTTTGATGTAATTGGTGTGATGGAGTCAATTTAACCCCTGGGTTTGATGTAATTGGTGTGATGGAGTCCCCCTGGGTTTGATGTAATTGGTGTGATGGAGTCAATTTAACCCCTGGGTTTGATGTAATTGGTGTGATGGAGTCAATTTAACCCCTGGGTTTGATGTAATTGGTGTGATGGAGTCAATTTAACCCCTGGGTTTGATGTAATTGGTGTGATGGAGTCAATTTAACCCCTGGGTTTGATGTAACCCCTGGGTTTGATGTAATTGGTGTGATGGAGTCAGTGTAACCCCTGGGTTTGATGTAATTGGTGTGATGGAGTCAGTGTAACCCCTGGGTTTTGGTGATGTAATTGGTGTGATGGAGTCAGTGTAACCCCTGGGTTTGATGTAATTGGTGTGATGGAGTCAGTGTAACCCCTGGGTTTGATGTAATTGGTGTGATGGAGTCAGTGTAACCCCTGGGTTTGATGTAATTGGTGTGATGGAGTCAGTGTAACCCCTGGGTTTGATGTAATTGGTGTGATGGAGTCAATTTAACCCCTGGGTTTGATGTAATTGGTGTGATGGAGTCAATTTAACCCCTGGGTTTGATGTAATTGGTGTGATGGAGTCAGTGTAACCCCTGGGTTTGATGTAATTGGTGTGATGGAGTCAGTGTAACCCCTGGGTTTGATGTAATTGGTGTGATGGAGTCAGTGTAACCCCTGGGTTTGATGTAATTGGTGTGATGGAGTCAGTGTAACCCCTGGGTTTGATGTAATTGGTGTGATGGAGTCAGTGTAACCCCTGGGTTTGATGTAATTGGTGTGATGGAGTCAGTGTAACCCCTGGGTTTGATGTAATTGGTGTGATGGAGTCAGTGTAACCCCTGGGTTTGATGTAATTGGTGTGATGGAGTCAGTGTAACCCCTGGGTTTGATGTAATTGGTGTGATGGAGTCAGTGTAACCCCTGGGTTTGATGTAATTGGTGTGATGGAGTCAGTGTAACCCCTGGGTTTGATGTAATTGGTGTGATGGTGTGATGTCAGTGTAACCCCTGGGTTTGATGTAATTGGTGTGATGGAGTCAGTGTAACCCCTGGGTTTGATGTAATTGGTGTGATGGAGTCAGTGTAACCCCTGGGTTTGATGTAATTGGTGTGATGGAGTCAGTGTAACCCCTGGGTTTGATGTAATTGGTAACCCCTGGGTTTGATGTAATTGGTGTGATGGAGTCACTTTAACCCCTGGGTTTGATGTAATTGGTGTGATGGAGTCAGTGTAACCCCTGGGTTTGATGTAATTGGTGTGATGGAGTCAGTGTAACCCCTGGGTTTGATGTAATTGGTGTGATGGAGTCAGTGTAACCCCTGGGTTTGATGTAATTGGTGTGATGGAGTCAGTGTAACCCCTGGGTTTGATGTAATTGGTGTGATGGAGTCAGTGTAACCCCTGGGTTTGATGTAATTGGTGTGATGGAGTTGGTGATGTAATTGGTGTGATGGAGTCAGTGTAACCCCTGGGTTTGATGTAATTGGTGTGATGGAGTCAGTGTAACCCCTGGGTTTGATGTAATTGGTGTGATGGAGTCAGTGTAACCCCTGGGTTTGATGTAATTGGTGTGATGGAGTCAGTGTAACCCCTGGGTTTGATGTAATTGTTGTGATGGAGTCAGTGTAACCCCTGGGTTTGATGTAATTGGTGTGATGGAGTCAGTGTAACCCTTGGGTTTGATGCAATTGGTGAAATATTGACAAATCAAAAGATATTTATTGTATGTAAAAGACAGAGAGCTTAAGTCAAAGGAAAATATAAAACAGGACAGACTGCCTTGTGTTTTATTATTGAGTTAAGTTTAAACAATATCTTAATCAATAATTCAACAATATTATTCATACATTACAGATGGGAAAACATGCTCAGAGCATTACATACATAATGTCAAATAAGTATACACAGTGACACCTAAACATACACAGTGACACCTAAACATACATAGTGACACAAACATACACAGTGACACCTAAACATACACAGTGACACCTAAACATACATAGTGACACAAACATACACAGTGACACCTAAACATACACAGTGACACCTAAACATACATAGTGACACAAATATACACAGTGACACCTAAACATACACAGTGACACCTAAACATACACAGTGACACATAAACATACATAGTGACACAAACATACACAGTGACACCTAAACATACACAGTGACACATATACATACACAGTGACACATATACATACAGTGACACAAACATACACAGTGACACCTAAACATACATAGTGACACATATACATAATGACACAAACATACACAGTGACACCTAAACATACATAGCGATGCATAAACACACATAACGACACATAAATGAATGTGCTATCATTGATTGCATGTGCCTTACTAGAGTGAAGTTTTACAACATGCGTTATCAAATCACAATTAAGACCACGCTCATGCAGGACATGCCACATTAGATCACTCATGTAAGCTATATGTTGCACTCGTGTATTGGGAATGCATGTTGTTTTTATAAATCGAAAGGGTCTTGAAACAATCATAGTTACACATAAGACTTAATGTCCAGAATGAGGCTTCACAGTGTTATAAATATATATAAATCTTTCCAGTGAAAATGGAAAAACTGTATATATCCACATCATAGTTTGTATGTGATTGCTGATATGTCATTTATTGTATTATAATTCCCACCAGGGACTGTAGCATGATCATTTGTCTTCTCCTGGTATGGACCATGCTGCAGTCTTCTGTGTTTATATGTATACAAATGTCATGATTTTAACATTTCCATTCATAATACCAAGACTTTTTCTATGCCTGTAGCAAATCAGTCTAATCAGTCTGCCCAGTTATCCCTCGCCCTGGCCTGGAACAGGAGCGATGTTGCCAAAAATACAATCTTCTCTTCATCAAAGAAGACCATATTTGGTGTAAGTATGTTTGTCATTGGTATTCCTTAATTTTAGCTTGTGATTTACATGGTAAGTAAAACATATATGCCTTGCCATGACGTTTAAGGTTAACTTATGCTGGTAAGTATCGGAGCAGGAGTGACTCACAGGCATTCTCTAGTTTGCAATACTGTTCGAAGACAGTTCTGTAGGCTTGGACAGGTAGTTGAGGTTAGAGGGTTGTGGTAAGGTTAGGGCAGATTGTGGAAATCTATACATATATACATATCCCCTTCAAATACCATCCTTACATTTTGAGTCCTGTCGGTAATCTTTGTTGTCATTCTGCTGGTTTCCATTTCATCAGTGGCTTTAATGACAAATATCAAACATGATAATGCTTGGGCGGAGTTTGTGTTTCGATGGTTCTAAAGTCGAACCATCATTACAGAGAACCAACAACTGATTCATTTTCATTAATCTAGTAATTTTGTCGGTTGTTGAATAAAACTTGTGAAGTAACATTCATTCATCATATATTTTATCTAATTTGCACAAAGGAGAAGTTTGTAAATTTTATAGAAACTGTATGAAAATGTATTTTAGACTTGCTATTTAATGGACTGTTAGAGATCAAACAGTCTTTTTTGAAATAATGTCAACACTGACAGGTTTTGGATTTTATAGTTTTGTAAATAGCTGTAGGTCATGATATGAAAAATTTGGTGAATTTACTTATACAAAATTGTCCAACCATTTGACAAGCTGGTGTTTTTATTGTTAGAAGTAAATTGGTGAGATTATGGAGATTGCATTGTTGTTCTATTGATAGACTTCGCTGCATGATGCCATGACAACCGCCTTGATCCAAAACAAGAAAACGTTTGTGGAACTTTTTCTGGAGAATGGTGTGGAATTGAAGGATTTCCTCACTGTCAAGAACCTGTGGAATCTATATGCAAATGTAAGTCACAGCGGATGTAACATATAATGAAATCTGTGTTATGTTTTGACATTAGTTTTCAATTTTTTAACGTTAATTTGTATTAGGATGATTTACATAATCTGCTTCTGATTAGGAAGCATTCTGTTTGACACCTTCTTTAAGAACATCTGTTTTAATCATTAACATATGCCAGTTGATAAAATGGTGTTAAAATGATTACCATGGATTTATCGTTTCTCAGATATGATTATAAATATTTCAGTGTCTCAGTGACAAGATGGACCGATCAGCCCAACTCTTCAACAACCTCATCATGTACCTCAAGGTAAGCCATGTGTCCTTCTGTCTGACCTGTCTCTGAACTTGCCCATTAACTCACTGACCACTATGTTGGTCTTACTGACCAGTTCTTCTCACATGTCTGTGTACCTACTGACCAGTCTGCTGCTTTCACATCCATTTCTGTCTGCTATGGTCTTTGGTTTTAGTCATAGTTCTTGTATGGCTACACATGACTTGTCAGTAGCTACATGACTTTGTCTACATGTGACCTTTCTTTGACTACTTGTGACCTTTCTTTGACTGCTTGTGACCTTTTTCTGACTACTTGTGACCTTTCTTTGACTACTTGTGACCTTTTTCTGACTACTTGTGACCTTTCTTTGGGTACATGTGACCTTTTTCTGACTACTTATGACCTTTTTCTGACGACTTGTGACCTTTCTTTGACTACTTGTGACCTTTTTCTGACTACTTGTGACCTTTCTCTGACTACTTGTGACCTTTTTCTGACTACTTGTGACCTTTCTTTGGGTACATGTGACCTTTCTTTGACTACTTATGACCTTTTTATGACTACTTGTGACCTTTCTTTGACTACTTGTGACCTTTCTTTGGGTACATATGACCTTTCTTTGACTACTTGTGACCTTTCTTTGACTACTAGTGACCTTTCTTTGGGTACATGTGACCTTTCTTTGACTACTTGTGGCCTTTTTCTGACTACTTGTGACCTTTCTTTGACTACTTGTGACCTTTTTCTGACTACTTGTGACCTGTCTGTGGCTACTTGTGACCTGTCTGTGGCTACTTGTGACCTGTCTGTGGCAACTTTTGACCATTCTGACTACTTGTGACCTATCTGTGGCTACTTGTGTCCATTCTGGCTACTTGTGACCTGTTTGTGGCTACTTGTGTCCATTCTGGCTACTTGTGACCTGTCTGTAGCTACTTGTGACCTGTCTGTGGCTACTTGTGACCTGTCTGTGGCTACTTGTGTCCATTCTGGCTACTTGTGACCTGTCTGTGGCTACTTGTGTCCATTCTGGCTACTTGTGACCTGTGTGTAGCTACTTGTGACCTGTCTGTGGCTACTTTTGACCTGTCTGTGGCTACTTTTGACCTGTCTATGGTTACTTGTGTCCATTCTGGCTACTTGTGACCTGTCTGTGGCTACTTGTGACCTGTCTGTGGCTACTTGTGTCCATTCTGGCTACTTGTGACCTGTCTGTGGCTACTTGTGACCTATCTGTGGCTACTTGTGACCTGTCTGTGGCTAATTTTGACCATTTTGTCTGCTTGTGACCTGTCTGTGGCTACTTGTGTCCATTCTGGCTACTTGTGACCTGTATGTGGCTACTTGTGACCTGTCTGTGGCTACTTTTGACCATTCTGACTACTTGTGACCTATCTGTGGCTACTTGTGTCCATTCTGGCTACTTGTGACCTGTCTTTGGCTACTTGTGTCCATTCTGGCTACTTGTGACCTGTATGTAGCTACTTGTGACCTGTCTGTGGCTACTTGTGACCTGTCTGTGGCTACTTGTATCCATTCTGGCTACTTGTGACCTGTCTGTGGCTACTTGTGACCTGTCTGTGGCTAATTTTGACCATTCTGACTGCTTGTGACCTGTCTGTGGCTACTTGTAGGTTATTTCTCTGTACTTGTGTTATTATTATCATCATCAGACACTGCTGTAATATCTGCAGTCTTTTGAAAACATGTCTGTGACTGATGACAGGTTTTTGTAATCAACTCTAGAGGTCGTTGTTTCTTTCCTGGATATAAATAGAAGGCAGGACACAACATAAACGTCATTTTCTGGAAGCTATTAGTGCCAGTAATATCGCAATGTAGTGTGTCTTAAGTAAATGCTGGTTTCACCAGCCTCGTTGTGTGGTTGTGTGTGTAAGTAAGATAACTCCACATACTTTTCTGTTTTATACTGTATATATAGTTGCCCATGCTTTAAACATTAGGTTCAGGGAGATAATCTGTGACGTTGTACATAGATAGTGTGTGTATTTTGCAGCAGTGTTACTCTCCTCTCATTATCTGTCTATATTGGCAGCTGTAGTATAATCAGTTATTAGTGACCACTAAGTTTATACAGGGACTCAGGAATAACTTGATACAGACCCCCAGGCACATGACAAAGGCTTAGAGTATTAGCCAGCAGCATGTTGCTATATAATACTGTTTAGTTCATTGAAAAGGTGACCTTGATCCAAATAAAAGTCACTGTGATCAAATGAGTCAAAATCTGAAAGGCAATATATGCTAAATAATCATAAATCAAGGAGTTTTGAAAATTGACAAGTGGCATGATGGGATGTCGGGATATAGATGTTATTCAGATGAATGTACATCATACATCAAAGAAACAGGCAAAATGTTTTAAAAGTCTCCAACAAAACGTTACCATGGGTATTGGCCGAGGCTGTCAAACTATTCTAGTAAATGACCTTAATTTAGTATCAAAGTCTCTGGGGTCAGTTATGTTATAAATTTTAAATGACACTGGAATAGCTAAGAGGACTTTATAGTATTTTGTAAAAACTTGCTGGAAATGATGCTGAGTTCTAGAAACTTGTGATTAAATTAGAAATCTTAGTTTTTAAGAATCTAGATAAGGAACCTTCAAAAAATAATTTTGTTTGTACTGGCTTAAGCATGGTAGTTTTAGAACTAGAATTCAGAAATCATTGCTTTGATGCTAGTGCTGCCTGATGTACACACATTAGATGTGGCCTTATGTTTTGTTTGATTGTATAATTTAGACTGTTCACTTAATTATCAACTTAGGTTAGCAAAAAGGTAAGAAACACTTTAAGTCACTGAGGTGTTATACTGATTTGTTTACTTCTTTTTCACATTGTTGTTTCGTTTTTGCATATTTAGAGATCCAAATTTTTGTGAGTTTTTGTTATGGCTTGCTTTGATATTTACTCATACTCTTGTCCATTTTAGGCTAAATTAATCATTTTTATTTTTGATAAAAAATGCAAAAAAATTTGGAAACATTTAAAAAAGAAATACTAATCTTTCATTTCTGTGAGTCTTAATCATCATGTTGAAAAGACAGCACTTTGAAACATGACAGAATTTCTTATACATGTTCTTACTTACTGGCACAATAATACCCATTTGCACAGCTTGGTAGACTAGAGAATTCAGTGATGTCTCATTTTGCAGTGATATGTTAACAGACCATGATTACTACTAGCAAAATTTGAATTGTTTTGACCAGACATCAGATGTAGAATCAACGAAAGTGTATTTGCATTTGGCTTAAGGACATGCACTACCTTTAACTTGATATTTTTGAGTTGTTAAGAGTTATCTCCCTTATGTATGTTTAAGTAGAATCTCATTGAAGAACTACATGTGTTTTTCAGTATTTTAATTTTTGGTAATGTTGTTCATTTTATGCTTATCATTATAATGAATCAATTGTTTTAAACTCGTTTGTATAAGTAATATGTATTATGTCAAGGCGTGTATAACATGATGGTAGTTCCTAAATCAGGGATCAGTCTAGGATATAAGGAAAAGTTACCTTTTTGTGACAAGGGAAAATAGCTTGGGTTCCAAGGGGCCATAGGGAGAAGCTTCAGGGGCCGAAAATGATTTATAGTTTTTTAGCACTTTGTGATTGACTATTCAAACAACTTTGGACTAATGCAAGATTCTTTTTAAAATAGAAAATATGCAAACTCCATCAAATTCTACAAAAAAAAAAAAAAAAAAATGAAAATTCAAAAAGCAATCTGTTGAAATTCAAAGAGAAAAATGGTAAATTATATAGAATAATGGAATATATAGTAAGATTAATGGAGAACATCCTGTAAAATGAGAATTTTAGAAGCTCTGGGAAACTACCCCATACTGGTAGTAAAACAAGCCCTAGATTTAGTATTATGTTACACTGTAGTCACTTAGATATGTCTCTCATTGATGCTGTAGAATGTATTAGTAAAGTTGTCACTCAGCTCTGCAGTAGAAAATGTATAAATGTTTGTGATAGATACATAAAATACATACAAATATATTCTGTGAAATGACATATTTTGGCAGCTTAAATATAAGTACATGTATACATGTAGTATAATATTGCATCAGAGATTTGCATTAGTAAATAGATACACCAACAAACACTGCAGTCTAACTTAAGGCCAGGGAATATATACCCTGTACTGTTCAACTTCCCTGCCTTGTTGACTCTATATAGTCTTTTACATATTATTATCAAAGAGACATCTAATCAGTAAATTTGAGTCATGTCATATGAAATTTTGAAAATTATGTATGAGAAACAGAATCTATCACTTGAATATGTTTGAGATCAATTTATTTCTGTCTCCTGCTGATGTTCTGTAACATCTCATTTAGTGTGAATCCCTGAATGAGATTTTAAACAGAATATCAGCCCTAGCCTGTAACGATTAAAAATGATCACAAATACTTATACAGGTAATGGTTTCTATACATAAGACACAAATGGACAGGATCATAATTCAATCATGTTAGTTCTAAAATGAGAATAGTGTTGTTTAATTTAAAGTACAGTGTAGCCCTGTATTCCTGGTCAGAGATAGTTAGCTAATTAGAAATTATTATCCTGTTTATAAAAGAGTAACACAGTAATTCAACATTCAACATGTTGATAACTATGTTGCATTTTTAATCTTGCAATCACACGAATTAAAGGACAAAGCCAAGGTAGGCATTTAACTTCTTAATAATCCAGTGTTGTTAATGTTAACATGTATCAAACCCAGGGGTTACACTGACTCCGTCACAGCATGTATCAAACCCAGGGGTTACACTGACTCCATCACAGCATGTATCAAACCCAGGGGTTACACTGACTCCATCACAGCATGTATCAAACCCAGGGGTTACACTGACTCTGTCACAGCATGTATCAAACCCAGGGGTTACACTGACTCCATCACAGCATGTATCAAACCCAGGGGTTACATTGATTCTGTCACAGCATGTATCAAACCCAGGGGTTACACTGACTCTGTCACAGCATGTATCAAACCCAGGGGTTACACTGACTCCATCACAGCATGTATCAAACCCAGAGGTTACACTGACTCCATCACAGCATGTATCAAACCCAGGGGTTACACTGTAACTTGGTTAGTGGAATGTATCATTCACAGGGATTACACTGTGACTCAGTCAAAGCACGTATATCACAGGGATTACACTGTGACTCAAAGCACGTATATCACAGGGATTACACTATGACTCAGTCAAAGCACGTATGTCACAGTGGATTACACTGTGACTCAAAGCACGTATATCACAGGGATTACAATGTGACTCAGTCAAACCACGTATATCACAGGGATTACACTGTGACTCAGTCAAAGCACATATATCACAGGGATTACACTGTGACTCAAACCACGTATATCACAGGGATTACACTATGACTCAGTCAAAGCACGTATGTCACAGGGATTACACTTTGACTCAGTCAAAGCACATATATCACAGGGATTACACTGTAACTCAAAGCACGTATATCACAGGGATTACACTATGACTCAGTCAAAGCACGTATGTCACAGGGATTACACTGTGACTCAAAGCACGTATATCACAGGGATTACACTATGACTCAGTCAAAGCACGTATGTCACAGGGATTACACTGTGACTCAGTCAAAGCACGTATATCACAGGGATTACACTATGACTCAGTCAAAGCACGTATGTCACAGGGATTACACTGTGACTCAGTCAAAGCACATATATCACAGGGATTACACTATGACTCAGTCAAAGCACGTATATCACAAGGATTACACTTTGACTCAGTCAAAGCACGCATATCACAGGGATTACACTGTGACTCAGTCAAAGCACGTATATCACAAGGATTACACTGTGACTCAGTCAAAGCACGTATATCACAGGGATTACACTGTGACTCAGTCAAAGCACGTATATCACAAGGATTACACTGTGACTCAGTCAAAGCACGTATATCACAGGGATTACACGATGAATAGGTAACAGTGTGTATCTCATACATGGATGTTTGCACTGAGACTTAATCATGGCGTGGAGACCTTACTTAAATCATTCAATATTGTTGCACCATCAACACAAATGTAGCTGTTTTTCTCAGTATATATTGATGTATATCATTATATATTATGATTCAGCCTCCATGTAAACTTTCACAATCACTGTAGTCACTTTCTATTGTTTATAATGTACTGTTGTTACCATTAGCCATTCCCTCCTTTAGTGTATGTAGTTTTTTTTCCAAATCTAAGACTTATCAGATATTGTAAAAATGGATCTTGGGTCCAAACTGGAAAAACACATTTGTCAGACTTAACAAACTGGAACATTTGAAAGTCTTTGTGGTTTTCTAAATGTTGCATGGCTATACAGTGTTGTAAGGAACTGGAAATTCTGGGATGTTTGAGTAATTCCTGAAGTGTATACAGACTGTATGTCTTTTTATTGCATGGATAAGATGAATGTAATTAAGTGTGTATCAACTCTGACACTTGTTGTTAAAGTTCTTCAAATTAAATAATGTCAACAAATTGAAAAAGAAATATGTAAACCACTGGGATGAAAGTTGAAATCTTCAGACTTCTACCTCACAGGGGGGTATCATAAATGTTCAGAAAAGGATCAACACCTTAGGGAGTGAACTCTTAATATCATTTTCTATAGCAAAGGGAGAGTATTAACAATGCTTGTATGTGATAGGATACTTAGAACAGTACAGGGATGTAGGTCTTTATGACTTTCATTATTTTTTAATCATTTTTATCTTATAGCAAACATGGGGAGCCTATCTCTGTTGTCGACCAGTACAACACCTTGGAAATCATCCAGAACTGGTGGAGTTGGTGGGAAAGACGATCGTTTATATAATGGGAGATGAGGCAATTAATCCGTATTATGACAAAGGTAGGTGACCAGACTGGGATGTCATTTACTAAATATTGATATTGATTTGTAGCTATCATTGTCCCAGTTATGCAATATCAGTAAAAATATCTAAACTTTGTGAAGATTGTGTGTATGCGGTTTTTTAGTGTTTTGTTTTGTTTATTTCTGTCTGTGGTTCAAATTTTTACAGTTTTACCAAAAGCCTGAAAAAGATCTTTAAAACTAGGTTAGCAAACATTATATGAAGGAAAGAAGTTGATTATAATGGTACTGGGAGGAAAATTCCAAAATTGAGAATTTTATAATGTTACTACTATATAGGAGAATGTTGTTGTTCAAATATTTAAGTTATGTAGGCTCTGTGGCAGACTGATGAACTCATAGGTAAATGTTAAATCCTGTTTATTTTCCAGGTGATAAATTTGTGGTAATTGATGCAGAGCCATGTATGGGATACATTGAAGATAACAAAAGTAAGTCTTCATAGTTAATTATTTAAATTGGATTATCAAAGACCAGGAGAGTTAGTCATGGTCGTTTCTTCAGTCATCTATCCATTTACCGTTCATCATTAAATAATCTCTTAATAGTTATCACTATTCCTCCTAAATAGATGGAGATACAGAAAAAGAACCTCCATTAGTGAGTAGGATGTGCTCCTTAGTCTACTAAGAAGACTACTGTTTGAAACGGAATTTGCAATGAGATAGGACTTCCTCTTAATGAGTTGCATAATGTCCACAAATGGTCCTGAATAAAATCATATGGGCGTAACTTTAATAAGTGCCATACTCAAGATGGCTATCATGAATGCCATCTTGAAAATTCTGTTATACATGTATTTATTTCTTCTGTGCAGAAAGTTATGTCAAGGTCAGACCTTAACCTGAAAGTGTTCAAGAGAAAAAATATTCAGACCTGATGTGAGTTTCATCTTGGATTCTACTCACAGGCTTATCAAAGAGCATATTTCTTACTTTGATAAAGATAGGTTTTTGTGGCAGTACAAGGCTGGTGCCATAGGCTTTTTGTGCAGCCGTCTATTGTGTCCAAGCATGGTAGAGTTTTGGGCTGCACTGTTTTTTTTACATAACAGAAGGTTATGTATTCCTATTCTGTCCACAGCGTATGATATGCTGTATGTCATTAATGTGGGTTTTTTTTATATACATCAAAAAACATAAAGTGATAAAACCTAAACTTGATACTGCAGGTGTTGAACACTCAATGGCAGGGAAAAATTGGCGGAAAATCAAACACGACTTTGAGCTACCAGAGAGGGAGCTGTTTTTGTGGGCAATATTGCTCAATAGGATGGACCTAGCTAAACTCTTCTGGAGACTGGGAAGGGACCATTTGGGTAAGGAACATCAGTGAAACAGCTACCTCCACTGTGTAGTGAATAAAGGAGAGTACAATCCCTGAAGTTTGAGGATTTGTGAGGCAAAACAAAAAGGAATTTAACCAGTCACACTAGATAAAGGAATTTAACCAGTCACACTAGATAAAGGAATTTAACCAGTCACACCAGATAAAGGAATTTAACCAGTCACAACAGATAAAGGAATTTAACCAGTCACACTAGATAAAGGAATTTAACCAGTCACACCAGATAAAGGAATTTAACCAGTCACACTAGATAAAGGAATTTAACCAGTCACACCAGATAAAGGAATTTAACCAGTCACACCAGATAAAGGAATTTAACCAGTCACACCAGATAAAGGAATTTAACCAGTCACACCAGATAAAGGAATTTAACCAGTCACACCAGATAAAGGAATTTAACCAGTCACACCAGATAAAAGATATTTGTTTAAATTTGAAATTTGTTAGTTGTTAGACTGAAATGTGATTTTTGTTTGAACTCCTTCTAGATATTCGGGTCATTATTGAGGTTTAAGGACACTGTTGACTGTATAAATCTAGCTTCTTTCATTTTATTTTGTTCAAGACTTAATCGCTAATCGCTGTAGTAGGAATTTTTTTTTCTGACTAAATATTCATGGTTATAAAAGTGAGAATTTTTCATGGTATTCAAAAAATCCCTGATGATTAAGGGTAAAAATATTAAGCTAGTAGTATGCTGCTGTTATAGAAACTTTGTTTTAATGAATGACTTTGAATCTTTTTCAAGGTCACATTAGTGAAACTTATTGAAACTTTGAAAAGTAATCTAATTCTTTTAACCAATTTTTTACTAGATAACCAGGATACCAAGGTTCATGCTATTTTACTAACTGGAATAAATTTCTTTTGTTTTCAAGTCTTTTAAAGTGCATGACTTTGGGTCACTGTTAAAATCTGTATGGTCAAATCTGTGATGGTTAGGAAACTATAGCATCTTAATCTGAATAACCAGAAGGACTGTAGTATTAATACAATATTTCTTTTATTGTCAAATTCCACTTATTATTGTATTTTCTTTGTTATGTTAATAAGGGGATGATTGCAATACCTATATATATATGTCATGAGTAAATATCTGTGGATGTTACAGGTTCAGCACTGCTTGCAGCAGGTCTGCTGAAAGGTCTAGCTAATGTGGCTGATGGTGAGGAAGAGATTGAACTTAGTGTGTCCTTAGAGGAGAGCGCAGAGTAAGTTACCTCCCTTATTTTCCCTTCATTTATAACACTAGTTATCGCATAATAGGATATTTTTGTGAGGATCATATTTTTGCCAATTTGTAAGTCATTGATAAAACTGTGTCATTGTCCACTGAAACCATGACAATACTTATCATGAAATATTGATCATGTGCCTACCCTCCAAACAGGATATACACAAGTTGATTGTTTTATTGTATAGGATGTTTGAGAAATTGGCAGTGGATGTGTTATCTCAATGCTATAAGCAAAACAAGGTGCTTGCCCATCAGTTACTTGTTCGTCAGCTCAACGACTATGGTAACACAACCCTGCTACTCCTGGCTGATGCCAACGAACTCATGGACTTCATGGATCACACTTGTTGTCAAACCAAACTGAACAGTGTGTGGAAAGGACGCATGGCCCTTTATACATCAACTTGGAAGGTAAGAATCCAGAAATCTGCCCTAAATTGGAATTTGTTATTCTAATTATCAACGTTGGTATGGAAGTTGCCAAATAAACCCATCTCTATAGTTTATTCGTGTAATATATATTTTCTATCTAAAGTATCCAGCCAGAAGTGTATACCTGGATGTGTAACATATACTGTATGCATTATGTCACAGATACTTGCTGCGATGATGATTCCGTTTCTGATTCCGGCTATTAAGTTTACTTGCAACAAAAATCCCACTGAATACCTGGAGGATGACGAGGAGGTAGACTACGACGACCTTGGTGAGGCCATGGCAGTAGAGGGCACCTTGGTCAGCAATAACAGCAAAGTATCCCCAGAAATAGAAAGTAAAACAAAGTACCTCAAGAAAAAACTGTATAAAGTCAGCTTGATTGGAACAGGAAAGGATGGTATCAATGTCTTCTCCGCCATGTACCACTTCTATACTGCGCCTGCCACCAAGTTCTATTGGTACACGGTAAGTACAAGGCCATGTACCACTTCTATACTGCGCCTGCCACCAAGTTCTATTGGTACACGGTAAGTACAAGGCCATGTACCACTTCTATACTGCGCCTGCCACCAAGTTCTCTTGGTACACGGTAAGTACAAGGCCATGTACCACTTCTATACTGCACCTGCCACCAAGTTCTATTGGTACACGGTAAGTACAAGACCATGTACCACTTCTTTACTGTGCCTGCCACCAAGTTCTATTGGTACACGGTAAGTACAAGGCCATGTACCACTTCTATACTGTGCCTGCCACCAAGTTCTCTTGGTACACGGTAAGTACAAGGCCATGTACCACTTCTATACTGCGCCTGCCACCAAGTTCTATTGGTACACGGTAAGTACAAGGCCATGTACCACTTCTATACTTCGCTTTCCACCAAGTTCTCTTGGTACACGGTAAGTACAAGGCCATGTACCACTTCTATACTGTGCCTGCCACCATGCTCTATTGGTACACCGTAAGTACAAGGCCATGTACCACTTCTGTACTGCGCCTGCCACCAAGTTCTATTGGTACACGGTAAGTACAAGGCCATGTACCACTTCTATACTGCGCTAGCCACCATGCTCTATTGGTACACGGTAAGTACAAGGCCATGTACCACTTCTGTACTGCTCCTGCCACCAAGTTCTATTGGTACACGGTTAGTACAAGGCCATGTACCACTTCTATACTGGGCCTGCCACCAAGTTCTATTGGTACACGGTAAGTACAAGGCCATGTACCACTTCTATACTTCGCCTGCCACCAAGTTCTGTTGGTACATGGTAAGTACAAGGCCATGTACCACTTCTATACTGCGCCTGCCACCAAGTTCTATTGGTACACGGTAAGTACAAGGCCATGTACCACTTCTATACTTCGCCTTCCACCAAGTTCTCTTGGTACACAGTAAGTACAAGGCCATGTACCACTTCTATACTGCGCCTGCCACCAAGTTCTATTGGTACACGGTAAGTACAAGGCCATGTACCACTTCTATACTTTGCCTTCCACCAAGTTCTCTTGGTACACGGTAAGTACAAGGCCATGTACCACTTCTATACTTTGCCTTCCACCAAGTTCTCTTGGTACACGGTAAGTACAAGGCCATGTACCACTTCTATACTGCGCCTGCCACCAAGTTCTATTGGTACACGGTAAGTACGAGACCATGTACCACTTCTATACTGTGCCTGCCACCAAGTTCTATTGGTACACGGTAAGTACAAGGCTATGTACCACTTCAATACTGCGCCTTCCATCAAGTTCTGTTGGTACACGGTAAGTACAAGGCCATGTACCACTTCTATACTGCGCTTGCCACCAAGTTCTATTGGTACACGGTAAGTACAAGGCCATGTACCACTTCTATACTGCACCTGCCACCAAGTTCTATTGGTACACGGTAAGTACAAGACCATGTACCACTTCTATACTGCACCTGCCACCAAGTTCTATTGGTACACGGTAAGTACAAGACCATGTACCACTTCTTTACTGTGCCTGCCACCAAGTTCTATTGGTACACGGTAAGTACAAGGCCATGTACCACTTCTATACTGCGCTTGCCACCAAGTTCTATTGGTACACGGTAAGTACAAAGAAGGGAGATACATCTTGTACAGAGACAAGCTAGGTTTGATAAACGCTGTCAGACTCTAGCAGAGGTCCTTATGTAAACTATTGAACCTCAGGATCATAGATATTTATTTCATAACAAAATGGTGAAACTTTTATGGAAAGTTAACATTTGGAATTTTGTGCAAAGAAATTAGTTTTATTAACTTATGTAAATCACTCTTGGAATATTGCATTGTTACAAATCCTTTTCAAATTACATTTGTTTTCCTTTTAGTAAGATGTATAGGTATATCTGAAGAGTGCGTGTTAAATTTTTCCCAAAGGACTTCATTATTTAGAAACTGTATTATTTAGAGATTGAACTAAATCTCTGAGATATGTTGTGATCAGTCAGTTTATATGTACAGGTTGTAGGCTTTCCAGGTACATTACACTTGTAATGCAGATTTAATGTTCTCTGTTCAATGAATTACAAATACATATAAAAAAATAGATAAGTTTCACTTATTTGTGTATTGAATTTATAACATTTCCTTGACTTTATAAAGAATATTCCAAGATGCCAGACTCAAAATTGATCTGCACATAGCATTACCTAGACATCAACATAATTTCATCCTGAAATAAACTTTTCAATGCTTCATTTTATAAAACATTTTTTCTTTTCTTTTTGCAGATTGCCTACTTGATATTCTTGGCTATTTTTTCTTTCTTTGTGTTGACAAATTTATACCCCACATCCCACCCCAACTCTCCATCCAATATCGAATGTGTCACGTGGGGTTGGACCATCACTATGGTGATCGAGGAGGTTAGACAGGTGAGTTTGTGATATTTCAATATGCAGTAGTTATAGATATTAAATAATAGGACTGATCCGAATGAGTAAGCAATGTCAATAAAAGACAGAATCTCTAACTTTCACAGTTCTCATTTTGAGAACATGCTATCCCTTGGATACGACCTAAACATACCTGATAAGGTTGTCTTCAGAACACCTTGTTTTATTCTCCTGTGTCAAGTGTCTCATTGTGAATTTTTACTAGTTTACCATAAGAAATAATTCCACATTAGTATGATCATGTTTGTAAAAGTCTGATGTATGTATCATATGCTTGATGAAGTGTGTTATTGTATTTGCCATTTCTGTTTACAGGTATTGACGCGTGATCAGAGATCCTTGATTCACAAGCTGCGGAGTTGGTACTCCAGTGTCTGGAATCGCTTTGATTTGCTTATGTATCTACTTTTTATGCTGTCAGTGATTCTGAGATTTGTCCTCAATGACAGCAACTTTACTTGGGCCAGAATGACATACAGTATTACACTGGCCATGTACTTCCTCAGATTCATGCAAGCATTCTTTGTGGAGAAAAATATTGGACCTAAAGTCATTATGATCAGAAAAATGGTAAGTTTTATAGTATTGTAAATCCTAGTTAGTAAATAAGAAAAAAATAAAGAATGTTGAGACTGTTCAATGGTTTGTTTTAGTTTTGTAAAAATATTGATATCATTAATATGTCTCATTAACTTTTTTGTTTTAATTTTTGAGTTACAAGTTTTTTTGTGTATTTTACAGCTGACAGATTTGATGTTTTTCTTTGCTATCCTCGCTGTGTTTGTGCTCAGTTTTGGAATTGCCTACCAGGCAAATTTGTTCCCTAATGACCCTCCAACCTGGCGACTTCTGAAACAGGTGGTTTACCTTCCCTACTGGCAGATGTATGGTGAACTATTCCTGGAGAACATGGAAGGTGAGTCTCGGGATTTCTCCTCATTATCTTGAAGTGTGATATGAGGATATTCTGTATTGATCCTGCAGTGAGCATAGTAATTATAATTACATTGTTAATGTCCTGTCAACACATAAAAAGGTCATTAGTGCCATCAACCAGTGAGTAAGCATAATGTCTGACTCATAAAACAGAACAATGATGTAACATATGGTGGCATTTCTACAGAAACTGCAATAGACATTGGTGGGCTTATTAACAGAAGAACTTATTGTCAGATAGTTACAATTAGGGCAATATTAGACTCAAACATGTTTTTGACCCATCCAAATGAATTTTAACTCTCCCACTTGTAAGGGTATGACTTTAGTATATGTCTTGACATTAGAACTTGTATGGAAATGTTGATATATCTTGAAATGGCTCAGTGTCACAGGTCCACCAAATTATATCCAATTATTTCTTTCAAATATTGATACATATCTGTAAATCAGTGATATTATCTGTTAAATGATCAGACCTTGTTTTCCTTAAAAAATATAATTACATATTATAAGATAAGAGTGACATACATAAACATACACATACTTAAATAATTGTTTTGCATGTGGTACTGACTTGTCAGACATTTAGACGTCAAGGTCATTATTTTCATTAACCAACAGGGGAGGAGCCAAATGATTGTACTACCAATGAGACAGAATGGCGGTCAGGAGCAAAGGTTCGCTGTGCCGAAAACAATGCACTGGTGCCATTACTTCTTGCTGTGTACATGCTACTGACCAACATCTTACTGGTCAACCTGCTGATTGCCATGTTCAGGTAAATATATATGGTCATTCAGATTGTTACCTGTCAAGGTCATTTTAATATTTTTGGAGTCTTTAATTATGGATTCTTCAAAATTCAGCCAAATCATCAGAACTTTTATAGAGGTGGGCACATCAACAGAGGCCATATCTTATATAGAGGTGGTGTCAAAGGTAGACTTTTATAGAGGTGGGCACATCAACAGAGGCCATATCTTATATAGAGGTGGTGTCAAAGGTAGACTTTTATAGAGGTGGGCACATCAACAGAGGCCATATCTTATATAGAGGTGGTGTCAAAGGTAGACTTTAATAGAGGTGGGCACATCAACAGAGGCCATATCTTATATAGAGGTGGTGTCAAAGGTAGTCTTTTATAGAGGTGGGCACATCAACAGAGGCCATATCTTATATAGAGGTGGTGTCAAAGGTAGACTTTTATAGAGGTGGGCACATCAACAGAGGCCATATCTTATATAGAGGTGGTGTCAAAGGTAGTCTTTTATAGAGGTGGGCACATCAACAGAGGCCATATCTTATATAGAGGTGGTGTCAAAGGTAGTCTTTTATAGAGGTGGGCACATCAACAGAGGCCATATCTTATATAGAGGTGGTGTCAAAGGTAGTCTTTTATAGAGGTGGGCACATCAACAGAGGCCATATCTTATATAGAGGTGGTGTCAAAGGTAGTCTTTTATAGAGGTGGGCACATCAACAGAGGCCATATCTTATATAGAGGTGGTGTCAAAGGTAGTCTTTTATAGAGGTGGGCACATCAACAGAGGCCATATCTTATATAGAGGTGGTGTCAAAGGTAGACTTTTATAGAGGTGGGCACATCAACAGAGGCCATATCTTATATAGAGGTGGTGTCAAAGGTAGTCTTTTATAGAGGTGATCTGTAGATAGAGGTGGACTTTAAATGATGATGATTGCTAAATGGGGAATGCCTCTTCAGAGATCGATTCATTGGGCTGCAGGTCTCCCAAGAGGATTTTAGACTGATGTGATCCAGATGCACTGATGAAGCTATAGTTTTCAATTGTTTGTGTGTGTTTTTTAGTTGTTATAGTGACTCTGTGTTAGCAGTATCAGTAATATTCATGATTATAAAGAATTAAATCAACATTTTGAGGCTTCGCTATCAATCATGTTGACAGACCAGTCAAGTGCTGTGTTGTTTCAAATGAAAAAGTCACAAGTCGTAGATAAAATAATGTTTTATATAAACACTTTGTTAAAGAGATAAAAAAAATTGGTTTTGACTTAACAGAAATTCAAATTTTTTTCCAGTGACACATTTCAGAAGGTACAGGATAATTCCCTAAAGGTGTGGAGATTCTTTAAATTCTCACTAGTTTATGAGTACTACGAACGGCCATCCATTTTCCCTCCATTTATTATCATAAATCACGCTTTCCGAGGAGGACGATGGCTGATGCACAAAATGTGCAGAAAGCTGAATTACCATGACGACTTCAGTAAGTAGCTGTACATTACCTGGAAGCATTATAAAAATGATAGTTGTCATTATTTTTTCATACCAAAGCCATTTTATTTGATGCTTATAGTTTTAACCCTAGCCATTGTAGTGATACATGTCCTCTTGGCCTCTTGTTTTATACTCCAGCCATTGTAGTGATACATGTCCTCTTGGCCTCTTGTTTTATACTCCAGCCATTGTAGTGATACATGTCCTCTTGGCCTCTTGTTTTATACTCCAGCCATTGTAGTGATACATGTCCTCTTGGCCTCTTGTTTTATACTCCAGCCATTTCATCTGAGGCTTGTTATTTTGCCCATACCTGACGATCCAGATTCACTGACAGGGAATCACTGTCTGTGGCCCCAGTTTCATGAATCTTCCTTAAGTAAGGGAATCTTCCTTAAGTAAGGGAATTTTCCTTATTTTAAAATTGCCTCTAACAAAGCATTACATGAGTTAAGGAAATTTTCTTAGATAATGCTTTTCTGTGGTAATTGAGATTTCCTTAAGTTACTGAAGAATCGTGAAACTGGGGCCTGCTCTTTAATGTGGTTTTATTTCTTTTAAGATTTTCAACACATTTAAACATTTATCCTACAATAAGCCTTGCCTCTATAGAAAAGTCAAGTCTTACATTTATTCAACATTAATTACACAATTTAATATATGCAATGCAAAATCAAGACTAACTGTCTATAAAGACCACTTATTTTGGTTCCCAATGTAATACACTGCATAATAATTGAACCTCTGGATGAAGGCCACTGCCTCTAAAGGCCACATTTGCTGGTATCTTTAAGTGGTCGTTACAGACAGGTATGACTTTCTATGATGAAGTCTTTATGATGGGGTATAATTGTACTAGAAGTTGATTTTGATGTTGATTGATGTTACAGAGCTTCGCCTGACAGAGAGAGACAACACACGTCTGTCACTGTTTGAACGTGAGGCAGTAGAGGACTATCTCCACACTTCGCGAGAGTTGCTGAAAGAACAGCTTGACTCTAAGGTCAGGAGCACGTCCGATAGGTAAGCATATTACATAATCATTTTCACATATTTCACAACCTTAACTAAGTTGTCTTCAAAAACTGATGATTACCGAATTTATCACAGATTTCAACTTTCATGATACTATGTACTTGTATTTAGAATTGATTACCTATTTGTTAAGTGTTCTGATAAAGAAATTGTGTATGTTTACTCAGTAATGCTAATTTTGTTGTGAACTGAATCTCATCTGGCTCTGTACCATCTTTCTAATATTGACAATGGTGGGAAAACTAATATTGAATTCTTGTCTTTACTTTAACATATAAGTTATAAGTTTTCTCCATTAATAATTCAGATTTGTTTACATATCCAGTCAGTGTTCAGTGAGACACATTTCTCTTTGGTCACAGTTACCAAGTATTGTGTTATTTACATATGTGTGTTTCCTCTATAATTTGCCAGACTGGAGAAAGTAATAGATGAACTAGACAGCATCAAGGATTCTGTAACCCAGGTCTCTAAACAAAAGAGTTCACAGCCAACAACTGACATCACACCACGGGATATAATAGCTAGCAGTATGCTCACCGCTCGGTCTGCCAAGTAAGTCACATGCAACTGTTCACCTTACGTTGATGTCCACATTACCAAAGTAACTCTCATATATACAGCTAATTTGATTGAAAATGGTTGGATACTTAACATTGGCATCTTTAGTGTTTTTCAGATTCACCCAGTCTGGTAAATGTGACAAAGCATAATGGATTAAAATCAGAACTGTAACTAACAATTTGGTTTGAATCCGATTAAATTGGCAACAACAGTACAATTGTATAAAGTCATTCATATTTGATGAAAGTAGTAGTTGTGTGTTGTATCTGTTGTATGTCATCTCTGATAGATTTTGTTCCCCAATCTTCCACTGGTGTCAGCATTAATCAGGTACTCTCATATTACATAAACCACCGATACTTTACATTGGTGAATATATCAGTAAATCATATCTTTTTATTATAACTTTCTTGCTAAATATCTCTTCATTCATTGTAGCTAATTTTTAAGAATAGCTAAAAGTCACAGAAATGTTTTCTTCTCCTGACAATCATGTGTGACTTAAGGCAGGAAGGAGAAACATCAGAATGACACTGATCAGATTGTGCCTGTATCCCAACTAATGCTTTTCATCCTGATATTGTTATACACAGGATTCTACATTGAAAATTAAAATATATGTCTGCTGTTTTGCTGTGTATTTTTTTTCTGTATGTAAGTCTGAAAACTAGCATGTCAAGTTTTGTCTCGTGCAGAGTTGCTGTACCCCAGGATCAGCGGATGCAGGATCAGATGGATCAACTGTCAACTTACGTGCGTGAAGAGCTCGCTTCTATCCACAAAAGTGTATACACTTTACAGGAAATGATGATGGAGAATAGAAGACAGACACTCACCTCCCCTGCCCTCGACATCACCCATGTGACCTCATCTCAGGATGTGTAAATTGGTCAGAACTGGACAGCACATACATAAAGAGGTAAAAAAACTTGACATCAATTACATAAAACTGAAGCTGACATCAAAGGTTTGTCTGGTGATGTGTAAAGCTGTCCATACTCTAAATGTAGTGGTCATCACTAATGGTGACAATTTGATGCGAAATGACCAATACTGGACATCCTACATTTGGTCACGTCTGACGACACAAACATTGCACTTCAGCAAATGTATGAGCAGTGGTCAAAACTGGACAGTGGTCAAAACTTGACAAGAGGATGACATATGAAATAGTCGATGCTGGACATCATACAACATACTAGAAGTGCCTGATCAAAGATAAGAGTTTTGAAGTGGTCTACTATGAAGTGGTGAAATGTATTTCTGCCCATATATAGAAATGTACAGATAACTACTCCATACATATGTATATATCAAAACATTTAAATATCTATATATGACCATACAAGTTTTCAAGGCCACTTCTTTATTTGTCATTCACTCTTCACTCATAGTTCTGTTATAATAATAATCTCTAATTTTATAAGGCTTAAGTGAAGGGATCATTATTTGTGAAGTTTTTACAGTAATCAAAAATTCACCTTGTACAATTAAATGCATCATATAGTTGACATTGAAGAATACTCTAACAAGCAATTTACAATTTCTTAACTGATAACTCTCATTGCATTTAACCATTGATTCAGTAATATATACAGGTATGTACTAACATCATTTTCTGTTGCCATGGATTAAATAACATGTGAACATACACTTAAATCCTGTCATGGCAGCTTCTCATTTTTAATGATCTAAAAATGTGATTTCCATAACTTTGCTCTATTTCACAAAAATATGTTTATTTACACAAAAAATCTGTTTTTTATTCATATGTCATATGTATTAACCTTCTGAACAGTTGCATGTTCAGGCTAATTCAACTATTTATCCTGCCTCTTCATTTCTGGCAAAATTGGCTGGAGATAGTAGAGCTAATCCTAACTGTTGAGAAAACAGGAATGCTGGGTAAGGGGTGGTTGGATAAATGAAACTTGGTTTAAACTGCAGTAGACATCAGATCTTAACCAGGTCCAGCATCTACTCATTGTCTTTGAAAAGTTACAATTTAAATTGTTTAACATCAATTTTGAGTGATTATATATTATTTACATTCACAAGAAAATATTTTTAGATATGAATTTTTTAATATTACAACATTTTACAAATTGTGCCTATTTGATTTTTTTCTTGAATTTCTAAAACAAGTTTTGATGAACTACAATATTCTCATTCATATATTATGTTACATAATCACATAAAAGTTGATGATGTATATTAATTTTCCTATTTCTGCACTGGTTGGTCCATGGCAAAAATGTTAATGATTTGTCTGTGATATTTGTGTTGTTAATCATATTTAGTTGTTGATGCAGACTGATATTTAGATAGTGATTCTAATGCTCTTTATATTTGAACTAGACTGCTGTGTGATTTATCTGGAAACCATTTTTGTTTATCTAACATGAGATTGACATTTATCGCTGTATGTGTCATATACAAAACTGTATATTGTAGAGTATTAGTAAAATAGTTTTTGAAGTGCTGAGATATTTATTCAGACAAACCAGTTCATTGGCACTTCCAATGTAATCTTTTTAGGCAGAAAGCAGGGAGGAGATGGAAATAGTAATACAGGCTTGGAAAGGCTTAGTTTAGGCTCATCAGAGAGCAAAATAACACCAGTAGGTCTATCCAAACAACCCAGGTCAAACTAGTTAAACTGATCAAAAAAAATAGTCCTTGACTGCTGAATGAAGAGGTAGAGTTATCTCCCTTTGGTAAATCCATAGACGCTACCAGTCTTTTTTTCAATTTGGATTATCGTAAGACTTTGATTAGGCACAAAATTTTGTCTAAATAATGACAGTTGGTAAAGACTGACGAATTTTGTGTAACATGAAGTTAAAGGGGTTTTTTTTTTAATGTTTGACTGGTTTGGGTTATAATCTACATAGAATATTTCTACTATCTGTAGAATTTACTTATATGATTACACCAGTTCACTAGCACATGCCAAAGATACTTTTCCCACCAAGTGTTGTTTTCATTTATTATTTCTTATATTGATCATCACAACACAGCATTTTTCCTGGAATAGATAGACAATCAGAGCTGTTTGCTGGTAGAGCATATTTAGAGTCCTGAAGAGTAGGAGTAGATGATGTTGGTGATGGATGGGTAGTTTTTTAAAGTATTAAATTATACCATGCTTAGGCTTTACAATTGTTTAGAATAGAAATGTTATTTTCATTGAACTTCTGCACTTCTGTTGAGACAAACAATGTGATTCATTTATTTGAAAAAGTTATAAACAAAAAAAGAACAAGAAAAAAGATGAAATGCTGTGATAGTGTTCTACCTTACTTTACATCAGTGTTATATACACTTTACTGAAGGTCACACAAGGGAAGTGCTTTGTAATATAAAGTCTTTTTATCAATATGTAATGAATTTAGCAAAACCATCTCTAACACGAGAAATAAGAACAGTGTTAGTATAACTTACAGAATATCTTGATGACTTTCAGTACTGATACTACTACAGATCAAGATATCTGTGTGACACAGTTTATATAACCAAAGATATGTGTATAAAAGAGGTGTGAATTATAAATCTGTATTATAACATGGAAGCCTTACTTTATCATATTTTTTTTGATTGAAATAGATATTTCAAATAATTCAAGTGATATTGTCAATTTGTTGCATAAATTACCTCAATTTAAAAATCATGAATCAATATTGAATTTTTATTGTAATTTGTTCAGCTTGCATTCAGTTTCCATGAATGTCAGTTGTAGTTTGCTGGTATATTTCACAGAATTTGTCTTTAAATAAAATTTGTATAAATTGTTGTGGGTTATGAATCTTACCAGTCTGCTCTTTAAGTCTCAAGTGTCACTGATTTTGATAATGGTCTCCACCATTTATTATAGCATACTTGTATCATGAATATAAATATGTCATTTATTTTTATTTTTTGAATGTTTATTACATACTAGGCACTAAATATGACATAACAAATAAATTTTCTTAATTTATAAGAAACTTTTCAAATGATTGTTTTTGAAATGTTCATACTCAAAATCACAACATCGATCAACTATATTATTTATGAATTGTATATATGTGCAGTTGTAAGTTGAAGCCGTCCTGCCATAGTGAGTTGGATATATAACCATTTTTAACTGTGATATAAAAATTTGGATTGTCAACCATGACATCTATGTTTTATGTGTTAAAGTCTTTATTATAGCTTCACTTAAATGTTGTTAGTCTGGGCAATATAATTTTCAAAACATTCAGCAAAGTTGTTTTCAATCTGGGCTTTTAAAGGCTTTTTTCCTTAAATCATCAAATGTTTTTATCAAGCAGATCTGAAAATTAATCCTTGTTACTGTTACTGAAGAAAATTTGCTTTATTTTACATTATCACAACATATCAAGGTAAATTATGAGAAAGTTTATATCACAGGGTATAAGAACAATTACTTATTTTCAAGAAGATGATATTCAGTGAAATGTGACATAAAACAATATTTGACATCATGTAAAATCTAATGCAGACATGACAAATTGCATTTAAGTGTTACACATACGTGTATGTCATACTGATGTATGAAATAGATGTTTAATTTTTGGTCTTAATATTCCTGACCGTGAATGTTGATACACAATTATCACTCTTTGAACTGAGGAAGACAAAAAGTTCTGTATTGCTGGTGATTTACAGGCAACCTGACTTAACAGGAATTCTATAGTCACTTTTGTGTATATATATATATATATATATATGGTTGTTAATAAATTATTGTTTTCATCTTTTTGTACGTTATCAATAGAATGGAAGTTCTTACAACACAACAAGTAGAAGATTTGCGTGTGACATTTCATTGGCTACATGGTCAACTTCATCAGTTCACCATCTTGTCACACCATGTTAGACCTTATTATACATCTGTGGTACAGTGGAAAAAGTAGGTCAATTCCTACTCATACACTATGTCAGTGCTGGTATGCTCCATATTGGTCATTTGTCTGATGAAGGTGACCATGCAGTTACAGAAACATTCTAATCTTCTACTATTTGTGATATAAGGACTTATATTCTGTTTACCAACCTGAAGCAAATGTTCTCAAATAGAACTTGATTGATCTTCATAAGTTTTTGTATTTGATTGAAAAATACTGCAAGTGATTCCCTCCAATGTGGAGAGTAATCCAGTGACAAAAGTTCAGTGAGAATCAATGTCGAAATGGAATCAATGTCTTTGAAAGATGGGTTTGAAAGGAAAACAGGTGTAGTAGAGAATTCTGTGACTGCTTGAAAACTTAACATGAAAGTCACATATATTTGAATGAAATTTGTGGATATTTATAAAGGAGCAAATTTATTTCAAACACTTTTGATTGCAAAATCAATATAGAATGATATTTGTTGGCAGATCCATTACGAAATCATAGTGCTGTGTGTTTGTGAAGGCTACGACACACGTTTATTTTAAGGAATCAGGTCCAGAATATAGCTGTAAGTTTGCCACAGCTGTAATCATTATTCACTTACCGTCCATATGTGTGTGTAAATATAATCCTGTATAACCATGTATTTCATTTTTCTAGTAGTTAGTTCATAATTCCTTTTAATTTGTTTTGATTTAATTAATGTAACTTGAGGCATTATATTTAGTTTTTCTGTAGAAATAAAGCAGTACAATTATTTTACTCTTAAATTTGTCAATATGGTTGGGATACCCTAAATCACCACATTTAAAAATTATTGTCAAATCTGCAATACATAAGGTTTTATATATATGATTAATACAGTAAAACCTTGTTATATTGTAAATTGGTGATATCATAAAGAGGGAATACTGTGAAACCTGTCTATAAATGCCACCTGTATAAAATACATACCTGTCTAAAAAGGTCAGTTTCTGTTCTCAAATG